GCCTTCACCATTCACTAGTCTATTAGCTCTGGTCTGTCTGCTTCAAGAAACTGAGGCAAAAGTAAAGACAATTAGTATTGGTTGGGTAACTAATATTGTATTAGAACTTCACATATGTTCTCATTTAATTTTCACAGCAGCCCTTGAAGTGAGGATTATGATACCCATTTAGAGATGAAGCTCAATAAGATTAAGTAACCAGCTGAGGTCAGGAAACTGCTAAGTGGTGGAGCTAAGGGTCAAACCCAGGCTTGTCCAAAGCCCGTGTTCTCTCTACTTCACTAAACTCTCTAACTTGTTCTGCAATAAAGGTCTAGGCAAATAATTCACTCATATATTCACTCATTCATTCAAACAGACATTTTTAAAATTTACTTTATCTGCTTTTATTTAGCAAAATAACTTATTGAATGCCTACTATGTGTCAAGCACTGTCCAGTTTGGACCTAGAAAGACAAATAAAGCAGGGTCCTCCAGGGCCTTCTCCTGTTTTGGAGACTCTTGCAGTCAAGTGCAGGAAGCCGTTCATAGTTGATACTAGGAGGAAAGAATGCACAAGGGGAGCAGAACGGCGGCGTCTCTAGTACTTTCTGTGTCGGGGAGAAAGCAGCCCCAGCACAGAGGAGGACCTCGAGGGCCGTCTCTGCATCAGCTCGCAGTCTGGAGGAGAGGCCCCCAAGCCAGCCAAAGCCAGAGGGCTGAGGCCCAGCGCGGGCTGTTCACTGTTGAGGAATGCTGGTGGAATGCACAGAGGGCCCTCCCAGATGGACGTGCTGCTCGGTACCTGACTTGCGCCTCACACCTAGCACAACTGGGAAGCTTTTTTTCCTCTGCCAAAAAGAATTTTTCCCCCATGAATCCTTCCCTGGAAAATAAAAAGCAGTACAGATGGGTAAGGCTTCCTCCAGGAGAACAGCCGTGGGCAGGGAGCAGAGGGAAGGTGGAAGGGACGGCTTCACCTCAGCCTAGGAGCCTTCGGCTGTGGGACCAGTCACCACTCAAACCTCCCTCCTATGGCCGTAGCCCAACAGCCTGCCCTTCCTAAACCTGCCCCTGGGTATTATTCGGAAAATGACCTTTCCTCCATGGAGGAAAATGTGCAGATATTAGTGCCGTGTTGAGGGGCTAAGGAGCCAAGAACCCGGAGAAGTGAACGCAAGAGGCTCGTGACTCGGACCTCCGTGAAAGCACCACTATCTGAGCAGGGGAAACGCGTCTGCTCTCCCCGCTCCCAGGGTTGGCAAGCGAGCAAGGCAGGGGCTCCTTTTTCTACTGAAAGGGTTAGCTCTGTGGCAGGACTTTATAAACTGGAAAGTGTTAAGTAAATGATCTGGAGCCGGGCGGACCTGGGTTTGAATCTCAGCTTTTGTACTTTCTAGCAACGAGGCCTTGGGCAAAGTAATTAATCTCTTCAAGCCTCCTTGTCTTCGTCTGAAAAAATGACAAGAAACCAGATGCTCCCCCAGATGGAGATTGATTTTTTAGCCCAGTGAGATTCATTTCACACTTCTGACCTCCAGAACTGTGAGAGGATACATTTGTGTGGTTTGAAGCCGCTAAGTTTGTGGTAATTTGTTACAGCAGCCGCAGGAAACGAATACGGATTTTGGTAAAAATACCCATCTCTCAGTTGAGAGGATGAACATTAAGTGCCCAGCATGTGCTGAGAACATCGTAAGTGCTCATTAAATGACAGCTTTCCTCTTCATTTCGTTATTTTGGAAGACAGGAGCGACTTTCTAAGTTGTTAAAGGCCATTGATGCCAGAGGCCTGAAGGAGAAGAGGCGAGAACGTAGTGAGACGGGAGAACGATCTAGTGCTCAGCAACTTCGGAACGCCCTGCCGGTCGACACATTCCTGCCTTCCTTAAATCTGCCCCCCGCAGGGCCGCCTCCCTGGCCTTTCCTACCACAAGCCTGTCTAGGTTTCTTCAGTCCACGTTTCTTGTTGCTCAAACCAAGTTCCTGTCTGCCTCCTTCCTTCTCTCTCCCGCTCTTGTCTGCACTTCCCCACCCTCATTCTGACTCTTGCAATTCTCCCACAGAGAACTCATCTGTCTCTTCCCCCTTTGTAAACCTCCGTGTGGCAGACTCATCTGTGGGAAAGGACGTATGCTATGGGGCACAATTGGGTCGCTGGGGCCAAACCCCTTGTTCAGGGTCCCTTCAGCTCTTTTCTGCCTCAATAAAGCCCCTCCTTGGTGCATAACCTACTCTCCCCCTTTATTCTACTGTGCACAGTCATTTTTGCTTTGAATCCATGTTGCTGTAATCATACTTTAAATTTCTTGAGAGAACAATTGGTCTTCTTTCTGTTCTTTAAGCCCAGCTAATCACCACAAATAGGCTGCTCCCTGGTGAACGGGTGTGTAATCGGTGCTGGTTGGTAACGGTGCTGAATCTGGCCTCTCCAGATTTTTGCCTTTTGCTCTGTATACTTGTGTTGTCTGAACTTCTACCTTTCACAGTCTATTTATTTGGTTTCTAGTTAGGATGGTAACCCGACCGGTCAGGAGCAGTATCTGTGCATACCAGTAATGAACCTTACAATGTGACTGAGCCGGCTGCGTGCAGAAGGTCCCCCTTGGCGGAGTTGGTGCATTAACTCCTTCAGGGCACCCAGGCTCCACTAGGTCTAGTGTGCAACAATCGCTGGAAAGCAAGGAATGACATCCCTGAGCATGAAATGATATTTCCAAGCAGAAAGAAATGAATGGGATTTCTAAGCAGGAACTACACATAGGGATCTTGTAACAATAGCCAAGTTTCTTCTATTCATTCAGCAAACATTGATGGAGTGTCCATTATATGCCAATTGTGAGCCAAAAACATTCATAAATTTTAACTCCTTCAATTCCCACAGCTACCCAGGTGAAAAGGTAAGGGAAATTATTTAGAGATGTATAAGATTACCTGGAAGGTTGTTAATACTTACATTAGAACATAACAATTCAGTTAAAATTTAGCCAAGTCTGGGTCAAATGGAAAGCTTGCTTCCCACACAAACCAGAACTTCACCCAAGCTGACTCATTTGCTCTCCCATGGGGACCTTGCTCTTGGAGGTCTCTACTCCCCAACTCTCCCTGGAATGTCACCTGCCCCACCTTCCTCCCACACTCACCCACCTCTAGTCTACTTAGCAAAACCATACGTATTCTCCAAGGCTTACATCTTCCCTCCTCCAAACTCCCATAGTGCTTAGGATCTTACTAGATGTATTATAACTATTTAGGAAAATATCTTAGCTTCCCTCCTAGAGAATAAAATCCTAGAAGAAGACAATCTCCCTTACATATCTTTGTATACCTCAAAACACAAGTTGTATTATTTAATACATTTTGATTTAGAGCATGAATGCATGAACGATTCATTAATTTAATTAATAAGGCATTAAGAGACGTGGATGGCTTTTCTCAAAATATTTCAAGTGCAAAAGTAATTGACCCAAACACCCTCTTGTTCTTTCCAGAGAATCCTCGGGGAAGGAGAGGCCCACTTATTTTTAGTGGCATACAAAGCACTAACCCTTGTAAATAGTTTCTGGGAGCCAGTGTGGGCTGTGAGGAGGAACTTGGGCTCTGGGGTCACACAGACCAAGGTCTCCAGGCTCACTCTTCCACTTACTGGTTGTATGGCCCCAGGGAACTTAATTTACCTCAATTTAAGCTTTAGTTGCCTCATCTGTGAAACGAGCGTCCTCACCCTTTTTCTTTTTCTACCCAATAGGGTTATGAGAATCAGGTGTGTCTACTTACAGTCCCTAGTGGAGTGGCACATAGAAGGAAGTAAACGTTAGTCCCTCTTTTCTCCCCCCTTATGTGACGAGGTACTTTTTTATTTGCCAACTATTTTTGAAGATAACAAAATATTATGGAAATAATGTTTTTTAACAGCTGCCTAACAGTCCATGTGGGAACCATCTGCCAGCTCTGGCCATGGATTTACCCTTTGGGTTTGAGTTTGCCACGACCTACGGCAGGAAGAGCTATACCAGGGACCCTCTTGTGCTTCTGCCCCGCCCAGTCATCGCCACCTCGAGTCTGCCCTTGGTGACTTGTAAGGCCTCAGTGCATCACTCAGAAGTACAGTAGTCTCCCCACACTGCAGTTTCGTTTTCTGCAGTTTCAGTTACTCCCAGTCAACCATGGTCTGAAAATATTAAATGGAAAATTCCAAAAATAAATAATTCATAAGTTTTAAATCGCTCACCGTTCTGAGTAGCATGATGAAATCTCATGCCATCTTGCTCCATCCTGCTGGGATGTGAATCATCCCTTTATCCAGCATTTCGACACTGTATATGTACCCGGCTGTCAGTCACTTAGTAGCCTCTTGGTTATCAGATCAACTGTCATGGTATCATGGTGCTTGTGTTCAAGTCACCCTTATTTTACTTAATAATGGCCCCAAGTGCCAGAGTAGTGATGCTGGCAATTCAGATACGCCCAAGAGAAGCCATAAAGTGCTTCCTTTAAGTGAAAAAGGTGAAAGTTCTTGACTTAATAAGGAGAGAAAAAATATCGTATGCTAAGGTTGCTAAGATCTATGGTAACTTTTATTACAATGTTGTTATAATTATTCTATTTTATTTTTAGGTATTGTTGTTAATGTCTTACTGTGCCTAATTTATAAATTAAACTTTATCATAGGTATGTCTGTATAGGAAAAAATATAGTATATATAGGGTTCAGTACTATCCATGGTTTCAGGCGTCCAATGAGGATCTTGGAATGTATCCCCTCCAGTTAAGGGGGGACAACTGTATGTGGTCTGTATATTCCATATGGTAAAGAACTCCTGCAAGTTACTGACTCTGGCCTGGCAGCCTTTACTTTTTTTTTCTTCTTTATAAAATTACAGTGATTATTGAGCTTAATACCAAAATTTCCTCCATTGCTAAATGATTGCATGACTTTGGTTTGGATGCTTTGGAGGGCACTATGCAATGGCGTGATTCAGTCGTGTGATGGGACTTGCAGCAGAATTTGTCACCTGCTCCTGTTAAGTAGTAATGTTCTCAACTGTGTCTGCAGCTGGTGGAAAATCCTGAAGATGGCCAAAGACAACTCCGCTGTTCGCTGTTTCCAGGGCGTGCTGATTTTTGGAAATGTAATTATTGGTGTAAGTAATGAGTATTTTTCAGGAAATTCTGCTCTTGCTGTAATCATGATTTTAGATCAATCAAAAGTGAAAGCTTAAAGGAAAATAGTGATATAATCACTGGCTCCCTACATCTTTATTTTGAGAAATGTGTTAGTAAAATATGCTACCTAAAATTTAACTATATAATTAATTGTATATAACTACTTAATATGTCAAAAGACCATGGTAAAAAAAATAGATATTCCCCTCCCAACTTTAAAACACGAGAATCTACAAGGAGCCGTGTCAACCGTGGTCAGTGTCAAACTCTCCCACCACACACACGCTTCCATGTTTCTTTCCTATTTCACCTTGGTTTGATTTCCTTGGGACTCTGCTGTTAACGCTACTGGGGACAGATATTTGCATCTTCTTGTTCTCCTCATACAGAGGCCAGTACCAGGCTGTGAGAGTGGCTCAGAGGCCAAGGTGTGTGGTGAGAGAGCACCTAGGAGTCAGGATCGCTGGCTCTTCACCCAGCTCTGCCTCTGACTCCATGTGACTCTGGACTAGTCACTACCTTTCAGGGCCGAGATCCCTCATCTATAAAATACAGGGGGTGGGAAAGATAACCACCAAGGTTCCTTCCAGCTCTAACATCCAGTGTCCAGTGGTTCTCTGGCACTGATAAATATGACCAGCACCAGTTTAAATATTACAATCCAGGAATTTGGGCAATGGGCAGTGGGAGTAGGGTGGGAAATTACCTTCATACAACAAGACATTGTTTGAGTGGTTCATGCCCCAAGGACTTCTAGATGGTCTGAAATTGTCTGGATCTTTTACCAAATAGCAATAAGACAGAGTGACAGGTGGAAGGAGGCATGTAACTAATTAGTAGGTGGAAGGAGCTATTTGATTTCCTGGCAACAGGGTTTAAGTCACTTGCTTAGAGCCTATGCAGGGGATGGAGTTAGTCTCTCTTCCCCACCCCCCTTCTCCACCCGCTTTCCCAGTGCTGCTTTCCTGGCCACCAGCCTGACAGAACCCTCTCTGCCCCCAGATGTGTGGCATCGCTCTGACCGCAGAGTGCATCTTCTTTGTATCTGATCAACACAGCCTCTACCCGCTGCTTGAAGCCACCGACAATGATGACATCTATGGGGCAGCCTGGATTGGCATGTTTGTTGGCATCTGCCTCTTCTGCCTGTCCATTCTAGGCATTGTAGGCATCATGAAGTCCAACAGGAAAATTCTTCTGGCGGTGAGACCTTAAAACTTTCTATAGTTGTCTCCTGGACCAATTTTGATGGATTGTTTTTCTTCCCTGAGCACTATGCTTTGGCTTTCAGTGGGGTAGGTGGGAGCAGAGAGTGCCAGGTGAGGAGCAAGGAGGGGAAGGTTCTCCCTGGAGTGAAGCTTGTCCATGTGGGGGCCAGGGTGCCCTCCATTATTGCAAGTCCAGGAGATTCCAGTACAGAGGACCCAAAGGGAAGACACCTGGGGTGGGGGGTGCTTTTTGAGTATTTTCCAGATCTTTGCTTCTCCCACTGGTGTCTGGATGCACCCAACAGGTCCAGCCAGGAACTACGTAGGCCAAAGGAGAGACAGAGTGAGAACTCTATAATTAGATTTTTTCTATTGACAATAAGTAGTTTAAAATATTATTTGACTATTACTCAGGCATTGATATATTAGGAAGTAAAATACAAAATATGCATGAATTTTTAAGAGAAAGCATGAGCCTTTTCAGACATATTTGAGCCCAAGGCCGATGATTTTGTATGATGAACTGCGCTTCCCATATTACGCATTCGCTCTGCTCTTCAGCGCCCCTAGGACAACTCGATGCACACCACTGTAGAGAGCAATGTCAGCTCCCACCTGCCTGTGGAGGCTCTAACTCTGTGCACTAGAGGGGCTTCTGCCCCAAGTCACAACGGCAAGGCCATGCCCTGCCTATTTGCAGCCAGCAGAGCTAAGAGCCCTCAAGTGTTGGGTCTAGACCTCTACTCTCTGGCCCCATGCTCAGGACAGCAGTTTCTCACACAGTGAAGGGTTCCTACCCCCACTCCCCACCCTCAAATAACTCTCCTACCCAAATGCTGCAGGACCTGAGTTCCACCTTTAAGGAACGAGTCGAGCAACTTAAGGTGCTGGTTGGCTTACTTTTCCTGTGGTCTGACCTTGTCCTGGCACCCAGGGAATGCAGAACTGTGACATTCTCTGCTTCCTTAGTGCGAGTTACTTCCAGGGCAAAAGCACCCATTTTTGCAGGGTGGGGCAAGGAGTGCAGGGAAAGGGAGAGGAGGGGCAGGTGTCCCTAGAGACGAGCTTCACCTGCATCCCGGTCTCAATTTGGGCCAACATGTCTGCCTGACAGCCAGGAGAACTCAGCTGGGAGGGAACCTTCATCACCGTGCCCCCCAAAAAAGGAGCAGAGAACCCTCTAAGGGGCTGACAGAGAAACACCTGCACCCCATGCCTCCTTTCCGGAATGTCTCTAAGGGGTTCCTGAGCCTCTTTAAGGGAGCCAGCAAAGCTCTTGACAAAGAACAAGGCAGTAGCTAAGACGGCAGGGGTGGTAATATTTGAGGCCTCGGAGGATGCTCCTGCTGTTAAGGGGCCAAAGCCTTTTTGTGGGCTGAGTGGTTAGGGCTGCAAAGGGTCTTGCTCAGAGAACCCGCCTGCCCAGGGAGGGAGAACAGTCTTCCCTGCCCTCCCTCACTGACTGCAGAGCCCCTTCCCCAGAAGACCAAAGGCCAAAAGCATATGGGCAAGGCTGAGGAATGCAAAGACAGAACGCTTGCAAACAGTCCCCATCCCAGATTCAGAGGCCATTGGTTGTTCAGATATTTTCCAGCCATAAATAGGGGCGGTGTGGTGTAGAGGCATCCTGTGCACTCACACACGCTCACACACATATACACACACACCAACAACAACAACAACACACAATGAGCTCTGTTTCACTCACCTGACCTGATACAACTGAACAGGTGAGGGATCAGAGAAGAATGCCAGTGAAGAGCTGTGTACCTGGAGGCTGGCCATTCCTCTCTGATGAGACTGGGCACCGTCAGGAGGGACAATGGATATTGAATACAGTCCAGTTCATCTTTTTCTGACCTCTGTAATTCAGTAAACCATAAAGAAAATTTCTACTAGTGAGAGGGGATTGATTTGAGGCTCTACATAATGTCTGATACACTAAGACCCTTGCCAGCCGTTGAACAAACACACACACACACACACATATATCAGTTCACCCTTTTGGATTTGTTTTTCCCAGTTAAAATAGAAATACAGGATACTGGGCTGAGAAAGCCCTGTATTCAATGGTCATTTGTTCTCTGGGAAAAGGAGAGAATTGAGCTGATTATACCCACTGCCAAGTCTTGCTCGAAGCAGCAGATCAATGAGTGTTTGTTGAATAACTACATGAATGGATGGTTATATTTAGAATAATGTGCTGAAAAAAACATTAAAAAAATCTCTCTGGAAGCAAATGTCATTCTCTTATTTCATTTGTTTCTCTTCTAGTATTTCATTCTGATGTTTATCGTATACGGCTTTGAAGTGGCATCTTGTATCACAGCAGCAACACAACGAGACTTTGTGAGTACAGTCTCAAAAAGCACAGAGCAAAAATGATCATATGAATCATCACTATCATCATCATAATATAGTAGCTGACATGTATTAAGCCCTTAGTCCATACCAGACACCCTAATACACACATTAATAATATATATATAATTTTACTTAACCTTTATAATAACCCTATGAAATAGATATTATCACTGTTGTCGTCCTAGAGATGCAAAAAATGAAACTTAAGAAAGTAAAGTAACTTGTCCAAAGTTACACAGCTGGTAAGTGAAAGAGAGAATCCTGAGTCAAGGCAGGGTGACTCCCAGGGCCCAAGCTTGTAACCTCCATGCTCTTCACCACTCCGCCATGGCCACTGGCCCTCCAATAGGATGATCAATAATCCACCATGTCTAAGACTTCCTCTCAATTCTGCATCCTGCTTTCTCTCCTTTCCTCCATTCCCTAGCCTAAGCCACCCTACAATGCCTGTCCACCCTGGTCTCACTGGGATTTCTTTGAAGGTGGGGGACTTCAGCCAACCAAAGCAGCCTCACACCCACCCTGCCCCTACTCAGTGCCTCTGAGCACAGTTTTACTCCAGGAGACAATGTTCAGTGCCCCCAGCAACAGGCCAAGCAAGGCACTTTACCTCCTTGGGGACTGGTGAGCTAACTCTCCCTCTTTGTTGCTCCTCCCACCATAGTTCACACGCAACCTCTTCTTGAAGCAGATGCTGGAGAGGTACCAAAACAACAGCCCTCCAAACAATGATGACCAATGGAAAAACAACGGAGTCACCAAAACCTGGGACAGGCTCATGCTCCAGGTAATGCCTGCGGTCTTAGGGAGATGCCATTTTGTACCTAAACCAGTGTCCAGAGGTGTATGTATGGTTGGGAGTGAAGTCAAAGTGTGGGGACCACAGCCTCCAAAGGGGTTTCCTTCAAAAAGAGGCTTGACAAAGCAAGTTCATCTATTCCTCTTATGGCAGGGGGCGTGGGGTGTACACATGACTCAGTGGGACCCCTAGATCTATATTTTATTTCAAGACATGATGCTGATTAGCTTCCATTTATAAGGATAACGACAGTGTCAAGAAATTTATATTAATCACACACTCTGCCTCTTAGAACTCAGGCATTACTTACATTAGAAGAAAAATGGTGCCTCCTCTGCCCCACAGTGAACTCAAGTGGCAGTTATTGTCTATTCTGCTTTTTTAGTACCTTTTCACACCTCCTATGGGCTAGTCCTGCTAAAGACTATGGGCTCTGACTTGATTTGATCACCTGGTTTTCTCTAACTGGAAATCATACCTTATATCCAAGTTTACTTCAAATACCATCAAAAGTCCAAGTCTGTCAGAATATTCACTATCATCCCTACATTGTTATATGTATATAGATTCTTTTCCCCTACATAAGCCCTGATCTGACCCAACTCTCACACAGCCCCCTACTTCCCCTCCCCACCCCACCACCACCGTTCCAGTCTGTCATCAGCCAACTCCCTTACAACCTCCACCTGTTCTTTGAACTCTCTCTTTACCCTCTATCTTCTATACTTTCTTCATTTATTCTAATATTCCCATTCCAATATTTTTTTTTACCCCATTTGGACCTCCAATTCATTGGCCACTTTCTATCGCTCTTCTGACTATAGGTCAAGCATATTTTCCGCTCTGTTAGCAAGATCTAAACTCTTCAAATGAAAATGTGCATGCTCACACATCTGTTTGTTTGGTTGGTTTTTTATTGAAGTATAGTTGACATACAATATTGTATTAGTTTCAAGTGTACAATGTAGTGATTTGACATTTATTTACATTACAAAATGATGACCCTGATAAGACTAATAACCATCTGTCATCATACAAAGCTATTACAATATCATTGGCTATATTCCCTATGCTGTACATTACATCCCCATGACCTATTTAAGTTTGTACCCCTTAATCCCCTTCACCCATTTCACCCTTCCCCCCTCAACCCCCTCCTCTGTGGCAAACACCAGTTTGAATGTTCACACATTTGAAAAATCTACTTACCAACTTTTTAAACCCAAGTCTGAAATAAGCCTGGCTCAAACTTAACCATTTTTCCCCAAAATGCTCTGGTCAAAATACAGGATGATTATTTCCTTTGGTGAGATATTTTCATAATCCGGTGGCAAAATAGGACATGCTTTTAAGACAGTTGACTTATCATCAAGTTTGCTTGGATATATTTATTCTAAAAGTTGAGAGATGCCCATAGTTTTAATTTCTTCCCTTGAAACATTTCAGCAAAATTTGTAAAAAGGAAGGAAAGTGATATGAATTGTGTTTTATCCTGTATCCTCAATTCTGTCCAAAGTGTAACGAGTTAGCTATGTGTTCATTGATTTTCCTTGTCCTTGTGGAGGCATAGCTCTGTGCCACCAGGTTTTGGTTATTTTTTTCCAGTTTATTTTCTCCCATTATAAAAGTAATACATAATTATTCTAGAAAATTAAAAATATAGAAAAGAAAAACAAGAAGAATCACTCATAATTTCTTCATCACTAAAAATTTTAATTTTCTGGTTCTCAATTTGCTCATATGTAATATTAGAATAATTGTACTGCTTTCACATTGTAGTATCAAGATGCTAGTATTAATTATTAGTATTTATTAAGGTTTACTATGGCCAGATGCTGTACTAGACACATTAAGTGTACTAGACGTGTTAAGTGTATTCACTAATTTAATCCTCACAACAACTCTATGAGGTAGGTACTATATTTATCCCAATTTTACTGTTAGGGAAAATGAGGCATGGAGAGTTTAACTTGTCAAAGGCTACAGAGCTCATTAATCGCTAGTAAAGTAATAAATGTAAAAGTATTTTGCAAACTCCGAAATGTAAGTTATCAGTATTTTCCGTTCTCCTTTGGGGATTTTTAGTAAACGTAAGATGTGGTACACTTTCCATATCTTCTTTCTCCATAAAATCTCAGTTGCTACATTGATGGCTCTAGCAAGGACTGTGGAAGAGAATTTTGTGTCTCTCCTCTGCTGACAGGACAATTGCTGTGGCGTCAACGGTCCATCAGACTGGCAGAAATACACGTCAGCCTTCCGGACCGAGAATAACGACGCTGACTATCCCTGGCCTCGTCAGTGCTGTGTTATGAGCAATCTTAAAGAACCTCTCAACCTGGAGGCCTGCAAACTCGGAGTGCCTGGTTATTATCACAATCAGGTGAGTCCTCTCTCCTCCCAAGACCTGCCAGAAAGTTCCTGTGCTCTTCGTGAGGAAAATACTGGTTAACTGTAGGTAATAGTCTCTTGGTAAGAAATTCTGCATCTTTTTTCCTAAAACTCCTGTAAACTATTTCCTTCTCTGTTAGTAACATGTGAATGCTAATCTAGGGCTGATCTGGGAAAATTTACATTTTAATAAAGTTAACAGAACATGAGAATGCAACAGCAAAATCCAACTTTGTTTAAATGAAAAATATTTGTACAATGTATAGAATTAGTATTTCAAAAACTATTTACATTAAACAACGATTTGCTCTATTTTTGCAAAATGTAAATTGGAAGGGATGAAATACAAAGAGAACATTTTGCCAGTTCCAAAGCAATGGGAATTTCTGAGGGTAAATGCAGTAATTATACGTCCACATTCCTTATTCAGTGACAATACAGAATAATCTTAATAAAACATTAGATTGGTGATTTGGGTAGAAGGTAGTTTACATACAGATGGTTTTTGAAAAAGAGTTTCCAGCCTAATGAGTATGATACGATGATCATGAAAACTGACATTTATTGAGTATTTACTGAAAGCCAGACACTGTTCCAAGTGCTCAGAGGAAGGTGCCAGTAGGATCCCTATCTTATGGATAAGGAATTGAAATATAGAGATGCTAATAAGTACCTTGGCCAAGGTCAGCCAGCTAGTAAAGGGTAGAGTCAGGATTCAAACACTAGCAATCTGGCGCCAGAGCCCAGACTCTAAGCCAAGAAAGAACTTGGTAATATTCCCGAAAAGCCCAGCAGAGAATCCCTATATACTTGGGGTCAGCCTCTGACATGCTGTACACTGCTCTGTGAGTTACCACTTGGAGGACAGCGAGTCGTGTGCCAGTTCATTCAATAATTGAGAAATGTCGGACTCTTTAGTCTTGGAGTAAATGATAGAACCTGCACTTTCAGAATGGAGGACACTGCACTGCCAATCATCCTGCCACACCTGGAAGGGGGCCTGGACTTGGGTTGGTTGCATTTACCCAGAAAAGAAATGGGAGTGGTATAGATTATTTTGCAGCGTCGTTCAAAGCAACCCTCATTTAGCTTTTCAGCAACATTGTTTTGGCATCATTTTAATCATTTATATTCAGACTGCTATAAAATTAAATTCATTGCCTATAATCACAATATACAATATAATGATCACTCTCAGGAGTAATAAAATGCTTTCGATATTTCAACACTGGAACTGGCCCATGCAGACATATCTTGATTGGATTGTAATTGCATACAAACTGTCATCTCTTTGAAAGAGACAAAAAAGGATGTTTACCCTCAGATAATCAGTTAATCTCTCAGCAACACTATTTTCCCTAGCACATATAACATTCCAGTAATGAAGGAGCTCCACACCTGTTTTGACAACCCTGCTAATGTCCTCCCTTACAGTCCCTTGGCCTCACTTTGTCCTTAACATTTCCACCTCCACTGCCCACCAACTGCACCACAACTACAAACTCCTCATCACTCAACTCCACTCCCCGACCAAATTCCTGAATCCTGAAATTCCTCTCCCTGTCTCTGACTCCCTGTGCTACTTCCTTCTCAATCTCACTCATTCTTCACCTTCATAATCTCTTTTCTATTAATCCTTTCCAATTCTCCCTACCCTAGTCCCCCAGATTCTTACACACTACCATTCTCTCTGAGTTACAGGTCCTGCTAATTCTGCTCTAGCAATCCTTTTCCACAAAGCAAAATATGCCACCCCACTACCTCATCTACTTTACTTCTTTTATTGCAGTTGACCTCTTGAACTATGTTATAGTTATTTGTTCACAAGTCTATTTTTTCTATAAGTCTCCTTGAGGGCCGTGCATTATTCAGTTCTATATCTTCAATACTTAACATAATGCGTGGCACAAAGCAGGCATGGATAAAATGAAGAGGTGAATGGCTCTCTTTTTCACATGCATATTGTAGCTTTTCAAGATCTACATCATACAACTGAAGGTTAACAAAATTAGAGAAGTCATCATAAGTGTGGTAATAATAGAAATCAACCAGAAATTCACATAGCATATCGGATGCAAGCATGGGCATTCTTACATCATGGTCCATCTGTCCCAGAAATGCTATGTGCAGATTCTGATCACTGCACCTCAAGAACATTATGGAATGAAGGAGGATCAAGTTAAGCGAGGCTACAATGGTGAAAAGGCATCATGAAGGGCCTGCCCGCTGGCGTAGGGGTTAAGTGCATTTGCTCCACTTCAGCAGCCCGGAGTTCGCAGGTTCGGAGACCAGGCACAGACAGACACACTGCTTGTCAAGCCATGCTCTGGCGGCGTCCCATATAAAGTAGGGGAAGATTGGCAACGGATGTTAGCCCAGGGCTAATCTTCCTCAAACACACACACAAAAAAGACCATCATGAAAGGCACTAAATGAGAAGAGGTGAAAAAACTGGCTGTGTGAGCTCCATGAGGGCAAAAACCATTTCTATCCTGTCACAGCTGAATGTGTAGCCCAGTCCTGGCACCTAGCATAAGTGGCCTTTTGTACATATTACTGGACAAATGACTACCTCCCAGGATTGTCAGGAGGATCAAGTGAGTAATGGATATAGGAGGGTTTGTGAACCATCAAGTGTGTCACTTATGACACTGTTGTAACCATTACTTCATATCACATTCCATTCACCCTGTCAACGTCGATTAGGTGGTTACTTTGTGCCAGGCACTTTGTGCCAACACTTGTTCTAGGTTCTAGAGATTCAACAAAGAGCAAGATAAACCCCTACCCTTGTAGAGCTTGCACTGTAATATGGGAGACAGACAACAAATAAGTTACCAAACAAATACATGATAATTCCAGGTAGTGATAAATGCCATGAGCAGAAATAAAGCAGGAGAAGTACATGGAGAATGATGGGGCAACGGGTATTTTTCTCTATGGTTGTTGGGAAAGGCTTTGTTGAGATGATTTTTGCAGAGTTCTGAACTAAGTGAGGAAAGGAGATCCTGGAAGATTGGTGAAGAGAGTTCTAAACAAGGGAAGCAGCAAGTGCCAAGGCCCTGAGGTGGGAGCACTCTTAGCTTTTTGGAAGAACATCAAGGAGATCAGTATGGCATGACAAGAATGAGTGAAGGAGGAGCAGAAGGCAAGGATGGATCCAGATTTCATAGGGCCTGAAGCTTATAAAATTTGTAGGGAGGGTTCTTCCTTAGGAAAAACAATTAAAAATATGCATATAAAATTAGGCACAGGACCTTGAAATGGTCTTGCAGGTAAGGAGTTCTGAAGCTTAAGCTCATTAGCTTTACAGTGAGACAGCCTCTGGTAGTGGAATCTAGGGTCATAGAGAGAGGGAGAGCCATATCAGACAGGACCTCACAGGCTGTTGTGAAGACTTAGAACTTCATTTTAAGCGTGGTGGGAAGCCATTGTTTTGGAGCAGGAATGTGAAGTGATTGATTTATGTTTTACAAGGATCCCCCTGGCACTGTATGAAAACTAATAGGGTGCCAAGAGTGAACTCAGGCCTCAGGGAGACCAGTTAGGAGGCTATTGTAGCAATCCTGGAGTGAAGCCGTGGTGGACGAAGGTGGTTGCAGGAGGTAATAATGTTTGGATTTGAGATGTATTTTAAAAGTAGACCCAAAAGGTTTTGCATAAGTATTTGATGTTGGATAAGAGAAGAACAGTTAAGGATAACTCTAAAATTTTCCGTTCAGGTATCTAGGTGAATGGAGGTGCCTGTAACTTAGATGGAGAAGAGTAAATGGGAGAGAAATCAAGGCATATGCAGCAAAGGCAGGGCATGTAAGTGGATTAACAGGGGACTGGGGCAGATCAGAAAGGACAGAACCTCAAGTGGCCACCTGTAGCCCTGGGTGGGGCCTCAACTTCAGGCTCAGCCTTTCAAGGTCATTTCCCTCTGGACTTCAATGGTTCATGAAAGCAGTCTGGGTATTGCATTTCCTAGGCATTCCTGTGATTCCCAGGGCTTTAGTAGAGGTCACTCAGACGGCAGAGGGCAGGTCTAGCCCTGCATGTGTGTATCACTCCAGCCCTTTGCATAATGAGTAGAACAGAGTGTGCCACGTATAAACACTTACTGGATCATGCATGAATGAATGATCCGATGATTAAAAAATGAATCACTCTTTTGCATGCACATTATGGCTCTTCAAAGTCTCACTAGAATCCAATAGAGATACATTGAAATATGATGTCCAATGAAAATTTAGAAAGCATGGCATAGGGGTTCCTTTAATGATAAAAGAAAAAAAGCCTCTGGTTTTCATAGACTGGAAGCACTTTTATTTAAAAATAAACAAATCAAAAAGTAACTCTGCCCTCAAACAAATCACCAATAAAATCTTTGGGGAGAAAAAAAATTCAAATTTTACTAAGAATACTTTACATTGTCCATGGTATTCAATAAAAAAAATGTTATGCTGAAATAGCAGCACCTCTATTAGTTAGATTGAATGATAAAGACACGAATAAATGTGATATCGAATAGTTGTTCAACAGGGTTATTTCTATTCCCTCAACAAAGCACAGTTCATACCTGGCTGTCCAGGGGGATGTAGAAATAGCCTGGTTATGGGAAACGGGACTTGGACTGGCATTGATTCAAATAGCAATCAGCTTTCCGCCCCATCTCTAACATCTTTTGTTCTGGTTCCTCTCGCACCGATGGGGAACTGCCACCACCTCCAGGGCTGCTATGAACTCATCTCCGGACCAATGAACCGACATGCCTGGGGGGTTGCCTGGTTTGGATTTGCCATTCTCTGCTGGACTGTGAGTATTTCCTGGCACCTGTTGTATTTCTGAGAAGATAATGATAAGGAGAAAGCTTGAGATTGCCCGTTGGTTAGCCCAACCACACTCAGACCTGAGGACTAGTCAGGAAGCTGCTGGCACCAGAGCAAGGGCGGTGGGTTCCCTGGGGAGGTGGGGAGTTAACTTCCTCTACCAGGGGAAGGATGTGCCCTGCTAACCAGGTCCTTCTTCTGGCGGACTGGGATGCACCTGCCTGCTCCTCCGGCTCTCCAGATCCCATTCATTCATTACAATTAGATATCAAAGACTGTCGTCTACCTAGGTGGCTCCTGCCTGACACTAATCTGCCTCGCTCCTTCCAAAGAGCTGCCTTCACCAATCTCACCTTGTCCTTCTAGAAGCCCACTCTATCTGATGTGCGTGCAGCAAGAGGGTAGGCCGGGGGTCTCAGCCTGCTTGCGCATTAAAACCTCCCAGGGGAGCTTGGGGGAAAAGAGCATGCCGGGACCCCAACCACTGAGATTTTGATTCAGCTGAGCTGGGGGTAAGACCTAGACATTTTTTTTTAATTTTCCAGATGATTCTAATTTGCTGTCAGGATTAAGAGCCATTGCATTTGGGAAGCAGTCCCAAACTTTGGTTTCAGAACCCTGTTACACTCTCAAAAATTACTGAGGACTCCAAAAAGCTTCTGTCTATGGGGCTGTATCTACTGATATTTACCCCATTGGAAATTAACAGAGAATTATTTTAAATACTTATTAATTCAGTTGAAATAACAATAATAAACCAATTACATGTTAAAATTAACAATATATTTTTTGTGGAAAAAGTGACTATTTTCCAAAACAAAAAAACACTGAGAAAAGTGTCCTTGTTTTACATTTTATCTCTTCAATGTGTGGCTTTCATAGAAGACAGCTGGGTTCTCATATTTGCTTCTTTATTTAATCTGTTATAATATGTTGCTTAGGTTGAAGAATTTGAAGAAAATCCATCCTCACACTGATATGTAGTTGAAAAAACCAGGAATGTTTGGGTAGCTTTATTTAAAGATAATTGTGAATAATCTTTTTTGACACTACACAAAACTTGACAAGTAGTAGTTTCCTTTTTTTTTTTTTTTAAGATTTTATTTATTTATTTTCCCCCCAAAGCCCTAGTGGATAGTTGTATGTCATAGCTGCACATCCTTCTAGTTTCTGTATGTGGGACGCGGCCTCAGCATGGCCAGAGAAGCAGTGCGTCGGTGCGCGCCCGGGATCCGAACCCGGGCCGCCAGCAGCAGAGTGCGAGCACTTAACCGCTAAGCCACGGCGCCGGCCCAAGTAGTAGTTTCTTAAAGGTTAGCTGCAAAAAGGAATCTGAAACTATGTTAATGAACTTTTCAGACTCTATTACATTAAAATACATTACATTGGTTTATCTGGCAGTTTGCATAAATCTTTTACCCATTCATGATTTTATAACATTGTGCATTGATTATTTGGGAAAACATTGGTTCACTGTGTTATGCAGATCTTCCAAATGTTGGGTGATTTCTTTATACAATACCAAGAAATCACATGTGAAAAGACTTGACACATTGGGAGGCTATCAAGCTCATCATGACAGATACAAGTTTTCTGACTTTTGCTTAACTTCTCAAATTTATTACTGGCAACAAATATTGTCAGTTGCTTTCCCTGAAGTGATAGACTCACTTCGTAAGTTTTCTAGAAAATGTCTGCCAAACACCCAATCTGAATAACCATAGCTTGTCTGTTAGTCATTTTTTCAAGTAAAAATGGTGTTTCATGAAAAACTGTCTGGTTCAGTGCACAACTCAATCACGCAAGTGCTTTTCCTCAGGACAACCATCATGTTTCAGTAGGCAATAAAACTGCCTTATGCACACTTCCTTTCTGGTGTACAGAATGTTAAAAAGATGTGTACTCAAAGGTAAACATTTAATAAAATTGGTAATTCTTACTGCTTCATCAAGGACAATCTCAAGTAAAACTGGCATTTTTTTTTTTACTGCAAGTGCCTGGCAGTGGAGAATACAATGACGACTGACACGGGTTCATGCTCTGCCTTGAGTCTTGCTAAGATGCCAACAGCTTACCCTGCAGTGCTTTTGCACCATCAGTGAAACAGTGAAAAGGGAAATAAAGTCTTAATATTGTTATGCGAATAGTCTTGACATCATGGACCCCTGAAGGGGTCCCTCGGATGTCTGCGCCCCTCACATTAAGAGATGCTAGGTTGAGGCGTGAGAAACTGGGAGAGGCAGGAAGAGAAAATCAACTCCATCGAGAAGTCTTCTATGATCCCTCAATCCACCCTCCTAGGAACTCCCGCCACACCCTGCACACACCTCTGTCACTGTCACTCCACTATGAGGTCTGTGTCTCTGCCAAACGCCTGGGTATAGCTGCCGTTTGTATCCCCAGTGCCTAGCAGAGCACAGAGTCAGTGCTCGATAATTTGTTGAACGATGAAAAATGGTAACAGTGACGTTTCTATTCATGCCATGCTAGCAGGAACTGTGGGATGATGTTTAAAGGCTTTGGAGAATTTAGAACTGCAGACCAGATGAAACCCTTGGTATTGAACCCTTGATACTTCCACAAGCACCAAATGGACTCTGGGTCTAGCAAGTCCCCTTGAAATTCAGAAGAGGGAAGGGAAGTGAACTAAATGGATTGAGGGCCTGCTATGGACAGGACGTCATGTCAAATACTTTTAACATTAAATCCACCCAATGGTAGCGAGGTAGGTAGCCAGTCTCCTTGGCTCAGTTACTTATCTTCTCTGTGCCTCAGTTTCTTCATAGGGTTTTGGAAGCGTTAAATTGAGTTGTGTGTGTAGCACTCAGAACAGTGTCTGATGCATAGTAAGTTACCAATAAACATTAGACATTAGTATTATCATTATTTCATTCTCTCATTCAATCTTCTAACTCTGGGGTAGGTGAAGAAGATATTATTATCATTCCTTTACAGATGCAGGGAGTGAGTGGCAGATCTGCAACAGACCCCAGATATTCTAGCCCCTTGCCTGAGTCAAATGTCTTGAATTCTGTGATACATTCTCCAGGGGCAGCTGTTCCAGGTCACAAGCATTTTTAGGAAAAGAGGGAGTCCCAGGAGGTTCAACACTAGATGCAAGAAACTTATACCACAAATGGTGCATACTAGAAATAGGACTCCACTGGAGGGTAATTAGTCCTGATGGGAAGAAGAAAGAATTTCCCCAGGGGGCTAATATAGCACAGAAGGGAGAGGGGTACCCCAGCTGATGGGGAGTCTAGATGCAGATTGGGGTGGAGTAGGGGGACAGGGAAGTCACCTCTGAATGGCAGGATGGACTCAGTGTTACCTCTACCCTGTGATGTTGCTTAAAGCAAGATTACTCTTAAAAATCCAGTGTCACCTAAGCCTGAATGAACCTAACATCATTTTTTCCCCAAGTTTGAGATGTTTCTAAAACAATTCCGTATTTATTATTCTTTGTTTCTTTTCCCCCTTGTATTCTAGTTTTGGGTTCTCCTGGGTACCATGTTCTACTGGAGCAGAATTGAATATTAAGAATGAAGTGTCCTCACCACACCACCTTCCCCCAGCAACTCTGGATTTGGCGCTGGAACCACGCTGTCCTAATATTCCACATTTGTGCTCCACCGGAACATGTGCAATCTTGCTCAAATTACCCAGTCAGTCAGCATGGACTTCCTTTAGGCTCAGGCTCCTGAAATTCTCACCACTGGTGTTTTCGCCCTGGTCTAGGATTCTGCAACATTTTATAGACTGTGGGAAGGGAAGAATTTACAAAGTAGAGAATGACTACTCCCATCCCTGTTTATTTTTAATTTGGGAGCGTACAGACATTCTAGAGGAACCCGTGTTCTCAGAGCAAGCCAAGTCTGTATTTGGAAGCACATCTGCCTGTACTTCTCACTGCTTTCATTCCACTCAGTGTTGTCCCGGTGAGAGAATTAAGGAAAAGGTGCTGAAATACATCTTTGCCTTTGTTCTGGTGCCTCCATCTACTGAGACTCAAGTGGTTCTCTTAACGCCACCTTGGGATCCTTTAATTCTCCAGGACAATACCCAATCTCAAGTTAACAATGATTGAAATTTCCTCTCAGATAATGCAGAGTGAAGTGTCTTTAGTAACCTCAGTTCTCCCGTTAATTAAAAGTGTGTGGACTTTTGGGGACAAAGTAGGGGCCTGTTATATATTTACCAGTCTCAGCCTGAAACCCCTTTCAAACAGGGGAGAAGCAAGCCAGCTATTAGATGGGTGATTTATGATGATTTTTGTTTCCTGTCAAAATATTTCTCTTCTGAGCTATGTTTCCATTTGTGGTTCTGAAGGAGATTCTCATAACTCAGCGTTTGTTTTCCTAGTCTTATAAATAAAGAGGGCTTTTAAATATGTTCACTTTCTTTTGTTTTTACTAGCGTCATAAATGGTGATATATGAAACCAACGAAACAGGTATTCCGACAGAAGAGCTTATTCGGCTGGTGGGGATTAAAGTTTAGGGGACAGAAAAGGCAATAGGGTGTGGTTTCCTGCTCGGTACTGGTACCGGGAACCCTGCTGTGCAGTTAAAGGGCTGGAGCTTCTACATTTACTTTTACTTTTCTGTCCTGCTCCACTCAGCCCAGAAGTGGTGACCGAGCTGCCGCTTCTCAAATCCTTTTCGTCCTGCAACGGAAGCATCTCTGACTCCAACTACTGAACTGTGTCCCCTATGAAGAAAACATACCTGTCACTGCAGGGTCCTATTCCCAGCCAACTCAGTCACAGAGAATACCCTGATCCCATGCCCCTGACCAGGCTCCTGTGAGTTAGGCTGAGCCCCTGGGCAGGAAGGGACCTGGGAGGAGGTGGGTGGATGGGCATGCCTCTCTATGCACCTAGTGGTAAAGCTGGGGCAGCAGCCTGATCCCTGATTCCCAGGATAGGGGGCCAAAGGCTCATGTCCTGATACACAACCAGCGTGCCCCTCCCCTGCCTCATCTTGTCTCTCCAGGACGGAGCTTGGGGTGTCAAGATAAATGACACCTGCGCTTGGTGGAGAAGGTTCTCTCTGTGGTCCGTTAGAAGAGAGGAGGCAAGGGAAGGAGCTTACTCTGGGCAAAGCTCTCTCCCATCTCCCTTTCCATACTCTTATGTATCCTGGTGCCTTCTTCTTCCACTGCTAACTAGGTTTTCCAGTGCTCTCCTGTGCTCCACCGGCTGAGCAAATCCTGCCCCAAACCCACTCCTGCCTTCCCCTCCAGGGCTTCATGCTCCAAAATTCTCTCTACCGGGGCCGGCCCGGTGGCGCAAGTAGTTAAGTGCACGCACTCCGCTGTGGGGGCCCAGGGTTCGCCGGTTCAGATCCCGGGCATGCACCGATGCACTGCTTGTCGAGCCATGCTGTGGCGGCGTCCCATATACAATAGAGGAAGATGAGCACAGATGTTAGCTCAGGGCCAGTCTTCCTCAGAAAAAAAGAGGAGGGTCGGCATCAGATGTTAGCTCAGGGCTGATCTTCCTCACAAAAAAAAAAAGAAAATTCTCTCTACCTACAAAATTCCATTATCCTTGTGATTTGATCTCAGCTAAGTTAAGGGAAAGCCTTTTGCAAACTAATTTATACTAGTGAGTGACAACTAGTCCCCACTCTCTTAATCTTCTCTGCAGATTTTTCCTTGAGACCTGAAATTGATCTCCAGTTGGTGGAATCCAATGCAGCCGTGGGAGCGGGGGAAGGGCTATTGCGGGGCAAGATGGCCCACCGGCTGCTCCTTAAATCTTACCAGCCACAGGATCTTACCTGTACCAAGAAGTAACTAGAAAGAGAATGGGCCTTCAGTTAGCCCTTTCCCCTGACCCCCTCCCCAGCTAGCTTACTACCTGGATCCTCAGCCTCACCCTTCATAGAAAGTGCAAATTCCACCGTAGACGTGGACAGGCTCTGCTCCTCCCAAAACAAATAAGGCCCTGAACCCAGCACCCACTAATGTCTAGGCCCCCACAGAGGAGGACACACCTTCCAGCTGACACACCTTCCAGCTGACACAGACCCTGGCCTGAGGATTCCCCCGCGAAGAGTCCAGCCACTCAGGACTCCTGCCCTTCCTGCTGCAAGGATCTTCGGTTTAACCTCAGGGCAGTTTCTGCTCTGCCCAGTTCCTCCTTCCAGCCCTCTCCACTTCCCCGGAAGCCCAGCCTTCCCCTTTCTTCTGTCTCCTAGGACTGGAAGTAGGGGTCACAGTGAGACCCCCGCCACTGCTCAGGGTGAGGCCCAGGCCCAGCCTCACCAAAGCCACTGCCAGCCCCACCAGAGCAGGGAGGGGAAGGAGAGCAGAAGAGCCTGGCTCTGGGTTGCTGGCAGGCTGCTGGGCTCGAGACACGCCCAGACAAAACCATCTTGTGAAAACTTCCCACTGGTCCAACAGTTGGTCTGCCTGTTCATCAGGTGGGCAAAGAACAATTACGACCTAACACCAAAAATATGTCAGGCGAACTCTGGGGTAGGTTTCACTTGAGTGCAACACCAGACAGGTCATCACGCTCTCTCAACTGGCCATTTCCTCCCCAGATTGCTACTCAGGCTCCTGGTAGGCTGTTTACACGGAAAGTTAGAAAGCCCACTGCTCATGTCATCAGCCCTGTAGCTCTTTTTCTACATCAGCTGGAATAAACAGGAACTGCTTCTATTCTAAGTAGCAGATCAGGTACTTTCTGGCTACCCATAAAGAAAAGAAGGAATAATAGTCACGTGAATTTGAAAACTCAATCTCCTCTCTTCCCCATCCCCACCCCCACCAATCTGATTGACAAGCCAGGCTGTGGTCAAGGAATTGGAAACTGAGCTGGTTTCTCATTTCTTTTTTTTTTTTTAAAGATTTTATTTATTTATTTTTTCCCCCCAAAGCCCCAGTAGATCGTTGTACATCATAGTTGCACATCCTTCTAGTTGCTGTATGTGGGACGTGGCCTCAGCATGGCCGGAGAAGCGGTGCGTCGATGTGCGCCCGGGATCCGAACCCAGGCCGCCAGCAGCAGAGCGCGCGCACTTAACCGCTAAGCCACGGGGCCGGCCCTCTCATTTCTATTGACTGAACAATTTCCTTTCTCCTTCTGTATCTAGTATTTCCTCTAGCTTCTCTTCCCAGCTTCACCTCACCCAGAACCTTATCACCTCCTATACGTGAGACTGAATCCAAGAAGAAACCCAGAGGAGGCTAGCTGTAAGCTATCGAGTTTGCTTTCATGTGTGACATTTTTATCATAAGGCTCGAGTGGCCCATCCAATGAGGAGATCAAAAAACATCTTGGAAAAAGGCAGCATTGCTGAGAAATGCATGGTTCCCAGACCCTTCTCCAACCAACCCTTCCCTCAACCCCCAACGAACTCCCAACACACACACACACACACACATACACACGCACACACATCCTTTGAAGGAGACAAATAGCCAAAATCCTGGGGTTAACGAGAAATGGTGTCATCATGCCCTACTGTCTGGTCGCCTCTACCCTGAGTTCCTCTTGAAAAAGAAAAAAAGAGCAGCCCCTGACCTTCAGACGCTAGGCTGGCACTCACAACTAGGCCATGCTATTCTCCTAGTAGACATAAACAATCTCATAGAATACTGGCCTTAGATAACTAGGTCACTCTGAGACCAAGATAAAATGGGGCCAACCAAGGCCACTTCATAATTCTAAGCACAAACAAAAACAAGGTCACTGTGCCATCCACAAAATACTAAACACACCCTTTCTTCGCTAAAATGAGTGACTACTACATGTTTACCAATTACAGCTCTATTCTCCTGCTAGTCCCTCCCTATGGATAAAATGTATTGAGATAGACAATTATAGAATTGTCCCCACTGACAGCGTCCAATATAGAGCACATCCTGCTTCCTTAGACCCTCCCCAAATGACCAACCCAAACCCAAATGCTGCGATAGTTTCTTTCTAACTCCGTTTTCCTGAGACAGCTCATGGCTCCCCAGGGTGTGTTCCTGCTCACTGCAGTGAGTCATAATCCCAATGTATCTGCAGATGTGCTCCTGGGGGTCTTTGGTTGAAAGACATGGCGCTCTCCAAATAACTGCCCATCCTTATTTCCTCTCTTTGTGTATTTCTTGGTTTATCTGTTACCGTGAGGTGGTTAAGAACATGAGCTTTGGAGTCAAACACCTGGCTCCAAATCCCAGCTCTCTATGACTTTGGCAAGTCACTTAGCCTCTCGGAAACTGCTTCAGGAAAACATGTCTATCCTCACATGAGACTGGGAGGATCTAGTAAGATATGCAAGTGTGAGGGGCCGACCCCGTGGCTTAGCGGTTAAGTGCGCGCGCTGCGCTACTGGCAGCCCGGGTTCGGATCCCGGGCGCGCACCTACGCACCACTTGTCGGGCCATGCTGAGGCGGCATCCCACATACAGCAACTAGAAGGATGTGCAACTATGACATACAACTATCTACTGGGGCTTTGGGGAGAAAAAGGAGGAAAAAGGAGGAGGATTGGCAATAGATGTTAGCTCAGAGCCTGTCTTCCTCAGCAAAAAGAGGAGGATTGGCATGGACGTTAGCTCAGGGCTGATCTTCCTCACACAAAAATAAAAATAAAAATAAAAAAAGATATGCAAGTGTGCGTTAGAATGGCTAACAGCCTGTAAGAGATACCAACAGGAAGTTATACCATAAATCCGGTCTGAAGAACTCTGTCTGGCCCATAATTCCTGGGAACATGCCAACTCACGTCATGTCACTTCAATTTATTGCAATAAGCTTGATGGCCAAATATACTGGTTCAAATTTACTGGCACTCAAACAATAGTGATGAGTAATAGCTTTACAGCAAAACTCCTACTCGATAGTGGAAGAAAGTACTAGGGTCAT